GCGCTGGTTCGTGCATACATCCCGCTTGAAGCCATACATTGCCCCGCGGCCGGATGCGTCATCTCCCGAAGTTGCCTTGCCGGGGTCTGTTGCTGCCGACTCGCCCTTGCCTGTGTCTGCTGACCCTGCGAGAGCGCCTGTCGTACCCTTCACAGACAAGCCGGCCGTGACAGCGCAGGGAGGAGGACGTTCCGCTCGTGGGACGTCGACTGGAGCCGCAGAACCCACGGGACCTGCAGCTCTTCCTATCCCTCCGCGGACGCGAGTACGGGATGTCTCTGGACGCGAGCGGGACAGTGGCGGGCCTCCAATGGCGACGGAAGAACTTGCGCCCGTCGCCCCTAAAACCCTTCCACGTTCCCGCTCGGCGGGTGGTCTGCCGACCGTCCGGGACGGCCCGGCTGCCCGTACTCGCTCGAAATCCCTCACGTTTCGTTAAAATTGTATTGTGTTGTGTTCTGGTTATATTGTTGTTGCATGCTTCGTGTCTTTTTACGTGTTGGCCCTTTACACCCGCATTTCTTGTCAGGTTGCAATTCAGCCGAGGTCGGCTGGATTTTCTTTATGGGGGAGGGTGATGTAATGCGGGCGTAAACGGCCCTCCGGAGGTGACGTCAGGAGGGGAGGAGTTAGGTCACGTGGGGGGGTGAGGGGTTAGGCTATAGAAGGAGGGGAACCGGAAGAGGACGAGGAGTGACGGGGAACCAGGAACAGAGAGAGGCCACGAAGGGCGAAGCGGAGGGTGGCGAGATCGCCACGAACACGGGGGAGCGAGGATCGGCACCGTTGGCCAGCGGTGACCGACCCGAAGCAGCGAGGAGGCTGCAGTCAGCAGCGGGGCTGCACAGAGAGTCAGCAGCGGGGCTGCATACAGAGTCAGCAGCGGGTCTGCATACGGTAGCAGCCAGAGGGTCTGCACATAGGGGTAGCAGCGGGAGTCTGCATAGAGGTAGCAGCGAGTCTGCAGGGAGGAGGTTACAGTAGATGAAGCAGAGAGTCAGAGGGAAGAAGAAGCTATAATAGCAGTGAATAGCCGGGGGCTACAAATACAGAGTTATAACAGAGTGCCGTGTGGGTGAAGACGAGAACCCAATAAAAGACACGAAGACAGAAGGAAGTGTCCGAGTCCTTTTATTACACTAGTACAGCACACCGGTTGCGTGTTGGAGACTAAAGCCGCAAAAAATGAATAGTCACGCGTTTTAACCTTTCACGGCCGTTATCTGCCTGCGGAGAACGTCACGGACATGAGTTCCATTTGTGAAAAAATATTTTCCAGTAAAAAAACATTTTTTTGTTAAAGAGAGCCATGCAGAAAATAATTTTCGTTCGTGTTTTTTTTGTATCATCCCCAAGCCAATTACGGTTTGAAATAAGCAAAAAAAGAAATGCTTGACGTTTTATTCCACTGGGGATACGCAAGTTGCTTTCTACAACAACCCCTGCCGGGTCCACCCCCACCCCTTCCCCCCCCCCACAATTTTTTTTGTAATATATATATAAAAATAAATAAACGCAATCAATTTTGCTCAGCCGCCGGTGAAAAATATCAGCCAGATCAAAAGGTTAAAAAAAAGAGAAACGCTCGGACTAAGCCAAGCTAGATGTCAATAGGGTATTGATTGCGGTGTTCACCATTGACTCGACGAGCCCAAGAGGGGGGGGGGGTCTGTGATCTTGAGAATTTTGGCAACAAGGGAGGCCTCCTGCCCGATCTGGCCCTGTCGGTCGAAACAAAAAGAAGCATTTTTCAACAGTGAGATCTTTGCCAAAGCGCTCGCAAAAGGGTAGCGGTTTACTCCCCGTTCAAATTGCATTGGATTTTTTTTTATTCAAGGTTGTTCGCTGTTGTCGCTATTTTACAATTTTCGTCTTTTACCCGTGACAACACGGTAGAAACCTGTCCCCGCGAGCGGACGTCGTGACTTTAAAAAGAATAATAATATTTTTTTTTCTGTCGAATCGCACATCATTTTGCTTTCATACAAATTATTTTCCAATTGTGCCGTCTAAGTCTGCTCCCCCGCCATCCATCCCTCCCGCCCGGTCAACCGTCGTCATTTGGAGGTCGCTCATTCTCCTCTGCCCCCCCCCGTCCCCCATGGATGTAACTCCCGTCCCGTTTGCCACCCGTGCTGTCGACTGCCCCCCACCATTCAAATCCACGCTCAAGGCTTTCCCTTTCTCTGTGTCTCCTTGTGACTCACTGCATCCTACTCTCTATACGAACACATTATCCTGTGGAGGGAGCTGGTAGGAACACGTTGGGTTGCTCGGTCAATGGCCTGCAGGGTCAACGGCGGCGTGGTGTATTCCGCAAATATGCCCGACTGTGAGGGCGGGCACAAGCCGGCGTGAGTAGGTGAAACGTTGAGTTTTATAAGGGCACCACGGGGTGACCAGCCCCTCCCCACCCCTCCCACCCCCCACCCAGCGCCTCCCCACCCTCCCCTCTCCACCCAGCCCCACCCCTCTCATTTTTGGATGCACAACGGACGAACACAATAATCCCCTGTGGGCTGGTGTAACCAGGAGGTTTCTGCCAGTATAAACGTGCCCAACTGTGTCCGTACGGCATCCTGAGACGAGGCGGGGTGCCGCGGTGGCTAGGAGGCGTTAACGACCTCGCCTGGTGTACAGGAGGTCGTGGATTCTATCCCGACCCTGACGCCTGCTGCTGTATATTTGGAGTTTGCGTGTCTCTCTCTCATCATCATCATCATCACGGTGGCTAGGAGATGTTAACTACCTCGCCTGGTGCGCAGGAGGTCGTGGGTTCTATCCTAACCCTGACGCCTGCTGTATATTTGGAGTTTGCGTGTCTCTCTCTCATCATCATCATCACGGTGGCTAGGAGATGTTAACTACCTCGCCTGGTGAGCAGGAGGTCGTGGGTTCTATCCCGACCCTGACGCCTGCTGCTGTATATTTGGAGTTTGCGTGTCTCTCTCTCATCATCATCATCGCGGTGGCTAGGAGATGTTAACTACCTCGCTTAGTTCGCAGGAGGTCGTGGGTTCGATCCCAACCCTGACGCCTGCTGTACATTTGGAGTTTGCGTGTCTCTCTCTCTCTCTCATCATCATCATCACGGTGGCTGGGAGATGTTAACTACCTCGCCTGGTACTCAGGAGGTCGTGGGTTCGATCCCAACCCTGATGCCTGCTGTTCATTTGGAGTTTGCGTGTCTGTCTCTCTCTTCCTGTGGTCGCGTGGATTTTTTTTTGTCCGGGTCCTCAGGTTTTTCACCCCCCCAACATTAAAACCCGGCGTGCGTTTAGGGTATTTGGCTGCTGTAAGTTTCCACGTGCTCAGACAAGCCACTTCCTTGAGCTATCATTTGCGACAGGTCGCTTCTGAAAAGAAAACAAGAGCTACATAAATTGCGAATTAAAGCTTTCGTGACTGCAGGGATTCATCTTCTTGGTTCTTTCGGTAAAGTCACGTAGAAGGGAAGTAATAAAATAATAAAAATAAAACATTATAAAATAATATAATAAAATAATCTAATACAATTATTTTATTATGTTTTATTTTTTTTATTGTATTACTTCCCTTCTACGTGACTTTACCGAAAGAACCAAGAAGAAGAGCTACATAGCTCAGCGGACCTTATCTGCTTAAAATAACAATAATAGCTTTAATAGTTTACTCTATTTCATATATAAAACACACAAATCATTGCTACCGGTATCATTAGACTAGGGCATCTAGCATCATTCATACTGATGAGCGCGCATGTTCAATTATTTTTATTATTATTTATTTTTTACCTACTTGACTTTACCGAAAAATCCTAAGAGTATGAATCCTTGCAGTCACGAAAGCTTCAAATCTAGAATTAATACCCTCTACGGGGAGGAATTTCACCTATCTGTTAGAACTTTTAACAGACAACGAGAAAAGATGTCACAGCTTCTCGAGACGCTTGACAGATATTTTGCTGTGACAGTTTCACCTGAAGACGGAAGCTTGTGTTGCCTCCGAAACGTCGTGATTTTATTTTTTTATTTTTTATTAATTTTATTTTTTACCTACGTGACTTTACCGAAAGAACTAAGAGTATGTTCAATTTGCCCCGTGAAAAACGCCCACAGTCCAAACCAAAGACTACGGCTCCATTCCCAAACTCGGGCGCTTCTCTGCATGAAGTTGATGCGTCCCCCATCTGCTCTGCGTGGGTTTTACTCCCGACCATACTTAAGAAGAATAAGAAGAACAAAAAAAACCACCACCACAACAACAACAAATGATGATGCACGGTCCATTCTTGTCCATCTGCTGCTGAATGGTTGACGGCCTATGCACCGTTGTTCCCGCATCGAACGAGTGAAGGTTTAAATTTCGATTTAAAGCTTTCGTGACTGCAGGGATTCATCTTCTTGGTTCTTTCGGTAAAGTCACGTAGAAGGGAAGTAATAAAATAATAAAAATAAAACATAATAAAATAAAATAATTCTCACGACGTTTCGGCTACAACGCAAGCAGCCGTCTTCAGGCTGCTTGCGTTGTAGCCGAAACGTCGTGAGAATTATTTTATTTTATTATGTTTTATTTTTATTATTTTATTACTTCCCTTCTACGTGACTTTACCGAAAGAACCAAGAAGAGTGAAGGTTTAATCCTAGCTGGCTTATCTACATATGCCATCTACATTACAAAGACTCAGTTCCAGCAGCAGTACTGACCATCTCACAACAATTCCTCTCCCGCGGCCCTTCATGGCTCCTCCTGCCCCCCTAACCAATATATAAGGTCGTGCCTCTTGGGACTTCTCTCCACTTGATACAGATTTTTTGCTGTGACAGTTTCACCTGAAGACAGAAGCTTGTGTTGCCTCCGAAACGTCGTGATTTTTTTATTTTTATATTTTTCATTAATTTTAATTTCAATTTATACCTACACGGTGACTTTACCGAAAGAACTAAAAGCATGAAAGTTGTCTCGCCCAGAGCTGGCTAAGTGCCGTTTGGCAGCAGCGGTCTGGATGCGTCACTCACCGCTGACGTTGGCAAAGTCCCGGTAATCAAACTCGGGTCGTCGGGTTCATAGCGCGGCGGGTCCCAACTGGTTGCTCCGCCTGCAATAAAACGATTGAAGAATAAGAACAAAAACAGCCCCCGTCAGACACAAGGAAAAGAAAAGAAAAATCACACATTGGACTTCGAGCTACCAAATATCAGTGAGGCTCAACCTGGTCACGTGGTGAGTCTGCCCCGCCTGCTGTTACAAGACCACACCTCCCATCTCGCTAGCCCCGTCACGCAGCGAGCCGATTGGCTGTCCTTTTTACCTGGCCCTGCCTACTCCTCTGCAATCCCCGCCCACTACCCAAGTAGCCCCGCCCACTACATAGGTAGTGGGCGTTTGACCTCAGTACATGAGACCGGACAGTGCTGTGTGCCCATTATACACTGGTGGGTGGACAGGGCGCTACGGAGGACCCACGTGACCACGGGGGGAGAGAGAGACACGCAAACTCCAAATATACAGCGGCAGGCGTCAGGGTCGGGATCGAACCGACGACCTCCTGTATTCCAGGCGAGGTAGTTAACATCTCCTAGTCATCGTGATGATGATGAGAGAGAGTGACACGCAAATTCCAAATATACAGCAGCAGGCGTCAGGGTCGGGATCGAACCCACGACCTCCTGCGTACCAGGCGAGGTAGTTAACATTTCGCCACCACGGAGCAATGCCATTGCAGCGGGCTCAGTGTTTGAATGGGGCCATGGGAATGTCTCCCAGCCACTCGGCCACCTCTGACTTCCCATAATAACGACCGCTATTATGTTAAAAGGTCAAGTTCTTCACAGCACCAGGCCCCTTATGATCTATTGCCTTGCCAAAATGAGTTATACATACAGCAACAGTAATATATATACACACACCGTATGGATTTATGTATGTGTACCGAGTATTTAACATCATAAGATAAACATTCCCCCTTATAACGTTGAACAGACCGTTGGGGCAAGTGCTGTTAGCGAGCACCTCCGAAGGCCGGAATGGCAGCAACCACGCCCGGCCGCCTTTGTCTCCCCGGCGACTATTTTTGAGGCCGAGTCGACCTAGGGGAGGCTCAGGAGCGAAGTGAACATCGCCACTGGGGAAAACAAAGGTGGTCGGGGCATGCTACTTGCCACCCACCAACTTGGGGCGTGCGGTGCAGGCCTTCGTAGAGAGGTTCTACTCAATTTAAAGCTTTCGTGACTGCAGGGATTCATCTTCTTGGTTCTTTCGGTAAAGTCACGTAGAAGGGAAATTATTAAATAATAAAATCAAAACATAATAAAATACAATTCTCACGACGTTTCGGCCACAACGCAAGCAGCCGTCCTCAGGTGAAGAACAGGTCTGTCGGGGAGACAGCGTCTTCCACACTGTTCTTCACCTGAGGACTGCTGCTTGCGTTGTGGCCGAAACGTCGTGAGAATTATTTTATTATGTTTTATTTTTATTTTTTTATTATTTCCCTTCTACGTGGTGACTTTACCGATAGAACCAAGAAGAGGTTCTACTCACTCACGGCACCTTGCACCCACAGTCAGTTGAGGCTATAACAAGGGGGGGCACCTTTGTCTTTGTCTTTGCGAGAGAGCGCAGTGTCAGTGGTGTGCCCGCTGAGCAGAGGTCGCAAACGGGTTTTGATTCCTTACCCTTACCCGTACCCGGCCGCACCAAGGTCGCAAACGGGTACCCGTACCCGGCCGTACCCGTACCGTACCCGGCCGGGTACGGGTAGGGTACGGGTATCGGATACCTGATTGCGACCTCTGGGATGAAGCCATGTTGCAGGCGCGGGTGGGTTGATTCTAGGAACTTGAATTGTGAGAAGAGACAAGACGTTGGGAAATGAGTGACAAACGGTGACTCACCAGTGACTCACGGCCTACCCATACCCGGACCCGGCCGCACCAGGGTCGCAAACGGGTACCCGTACCCGGCCGGGTACGGGTAGCCGGGTATCGGGTAGGGTACGGGTATCGGGTACCCGGTTGCGACCTCTGCCCGCTGGGTGCCAGCCGTGCCACGGCAAGTACGATGGAGTTCTGGCACATCGGTGTCGGGGGGGTGCGACGAGGCCGTCACGGGTCTTGGCGTCGAGTAAAAACACGTGTATACCCCACCACGTGGTTGGTTACGTATGCACGTGCGAAAGGAATTCAACGTACACACTGCACATAGACTCAACACTGCACATAGACCCAACACTACCCATAGACTCAACACTGCCCATAGACTCAACACTGCCCATAGACTAAACGCTGCACATAGACTCAACACTGCCCATAGACTCAACACTGCCCATAGACTCAACACTACCCATAGACTCAACACTGCACATAGTCTCAACACTGCCCATAGACTAAACACTACCCATAGACTCAACACTACCCATAGACTCAAAACTGCCCATAGACTCAACACTGCACATAGACTCAACACTGCCCATAGACTCAACACTGCCCATAGACTCAACACTACCCATAGACTCAACACTGCCCATAGACTCAACACTACCCATAGACTCAACACTACCCATAAACTCAACACTGCCCATAGACTCAACACTACCCATAGACTCAACACTGCACATAGACTCAACACTACACATAGACTCAACACTACCCATAGACTCAACACTACCCATAGACTCAACACTGCCCATAGACTCAATACTGCCCATAGACTCAACACTGCCCATAGACTCAACACTACCCATAGACTCAACACTGCACATAGACTCAACACTGCACCATAGTCTCAACACTGCCCATAGACTCAACACTGCCCATATACTCAACACTGCCCATAGACTCAACACTGCCCATAGACTCAACACTGCCCATAGACTCAACACTACCCATAGACTCAACACTGCCCATAGACTCAACACTGCACATAGACTCAACACTGCCCATAGACTCAACGCAGCACATAGACTCAACACTGCCCATAGACTCAACACTACCCATAGACTCAACACTGCACATAGTCTCAACACTGCCCATAGACTCAACACTACCCATAGACTCAACACTACCCATAGACTCAAAACTGCCCATAGACTCAACACTGCACATAGACTCAACACTGCCCATAGACTCAACACTGCCCATAGACTCAACACTACCCATAGACTCAACACTGCCCATAGACTCAACACTACCCATAGACTCAACACTGCACATAGACTCAACACTACCCATATACTCAACACTACCCATAGACTCAACACTGCCCATAGACTCAACACTACCCATAGACTCAACACTGCCCATAGACTCAACACTACCCATAGACTCAACACTACCCATAGACTCAATACTGCCCATAGACTCAACACTACCCATAGACTCAACACTACCCATAGACTCAACACCATAGACTCAACACTACCCATAGACTCAACACTACCCATAGACTCAACACTACCCATAGACTCAACACTACCCATAGACTCAACACTACCCATAGACTCAACACTGCCCATAGACTCAACACTACCCATAGACTCAACACTGCACATAGACTCAACACTACCCATAGACTCAACACTGCACATAGACTCAACACTACCCATAGACTCAACACTGCCCATAGACTCAACACTACCCATAGACTCAACACTGCCCATAGACTCAACACTACCCATAGACTCAACACTACCCATAGACTCAACACTACCCATATACTTCAACACTGCCCATAGACTCAACACTACCCATAGACTCAACACTGCCCATAGACTCAACACTACCCATAGACTCAACACTGCACATAGACTCAACACTACCCATAGACTCAACACTGCACATAGACTCAACACTACCCATAGACTCAACACTGCACCATAGACTTAACACTACCCATAGACTAACACTGCCCATAGACTCAACACTGCACATAGACTCAACACTGCACATAGACCCAACACTACCCATAGACTCAACACTGCCCATAGACTCAACACTGCCCATAGACTCAACACTGCCCATAGACTCAACACTGCCCATAGACTCAACACTAACCCATAGACTCAACACTGCCCATAGACTCAACACTGCCCATAGACTCAACACTACCCATAGACTCAACACTGCACATAGACCCAACACTACCCATAGACTCAACACTGCCCATAGACTCAACACTACCCATAGACTCAACACTGCACATAGACCCAACACTACCCATAGACTCAACACTGCCCATAGACTCAACACTGCCCATAGACTCAACACTACCCATAGACCATCTTTCTTGTCAATGTCCCCGTATCCTCTGAAGCGCGTGACAGTTCAGACAATAGACACCAATTAAACAGTATTAGTATTATCTCGGTGCATTAGCTCTGGGTGCGTTTCATTATGAACAAAACATTTTCCAAAAGCACTCCGGTCAGCCTCTCATTTGCTATTGAAACTGCAATCGGTCAATAGTTCAACTGCCCGGGTTGATGTGGTGCCAGCAGTTTCCATGTGTGCTTCAGATTGTTTAGACCAATATTCGCCCGAGTTGTGCTCAGTAACCAAAGAGCTATTTGAAACGATCCGCAGCTGGCACCACATCGACCCATGGTTGCCCGCCAGTCTGGGAATTTGGCATCTGTGTTCCGGTGGTGGGAATCGATCTGTACCGAGATCTGGAACCGATGTTGATGCGCTGAACCATATGTCCGTGTACAATACCCCTTGAGCTATTGCCGAAAGCTTGGAGAGAACTGAATGGATTTTAAATAGACTCACAAACAACAAACACCTTGTTGTGAAAGACCCAATGCAGAAAGTTCCCTGGGTTTGATCATCCGCGAAGCTCATGGTCCACTCTAAATCGCATCGACTGCACAAACCATGGCAGCAGATGCGGATACCCGAACCCACAAATGGAAAATTAAAAAAACCTCCAGTCGTAGTGTGCGACTGTGGTCATCCAGAATAGATAGTACAACTTATAACAACAACGCAATGCCCCATCCACAAATATGAAGGAGACATCACAGCAATACACAACTCCGCTGGCTCCTGACACGGTTGTCTGGCTTGACCACCTGCATGTGAAATTGTAGTCGTCTAC